CGCAAGATCAGATAATGATGGCTTGTAACACAGCTTGTAACAGAGCTCAGCCTGTTCTTAATTTGGGCAATGATGGAGGTAGAGAGAAGGAGCACTATAATTCCACTTTAAATGCAATGGCAACTTCCTATAGAATCCTGTAGTTTGGTGATGCTCCAGTATTCTCTGGCTTAAAGTAAAGGCACTAAGGGTGCATCTGAACCACAGAAGAGCCCCTCTCCCCAGCACCAACTCTGCTCTGGGCTAGAGTGAAGAGAGAGGGGGCCAGGAAGACAGTTCCACCTTGTCTCCTGTGCTATGCTAATAATATAATATAATATAATATAATATAATATAATATAATATAATATAATATATTGTATATACATATAATATTTATAATAATATAGTGTAATACAATATAATACTACTAATAATACAAAATTATAATTATATATTTTAGATTACATGTAATATTACTAATAATATTACAATATAATGGTATAGTACAATATAGTAATATATTATACTGATATTGTGCTATGCTAATAATATAATATATTGTGTATAATATTATAATGTAATACAATATAATAATAATACAATATTATAATTATATATTTTAGAGTACATGTAATGTTACTAATAATATTACAATATATGGTATAGTACAATATAGTAATATATAATACTGATATTGTGCTATGCTAAAAATATAATACATTGTATACTAGCCATCCCCAACCACGCGTTGCTGTGGCCCACTCTGGTGGTCATGGGGGTTCTGTGTGGGAGGTTTGGCACAATTCTATCGTTGGTGGGGTTCAGAATGATCTTTGATTGTAAGTGAACTATAAATCCCGGCAACTACAACTCCCAAATGTCAAGATTATATTTTCCCCAAACTCCACCAGTGTTCACATTTGGGCATATTGAGTATTCGTGTAGTGTTTGGTCCAGATCCATCATTGTTTGAGTCCACAGTGATCTCTGAATGTAGGTGGACTACAACTCCAAAACCAAAGGACACTGCCCACCAAACCCTTTCAGTATTTTCTGTTGGTCATGGGAGTTCTGTGTGCCAAGTTTGGTTCAATTCCATCGTTGGTGGGGTTCAGAATGTTCTTTGATTGCAGGTGAACTATAAATCCCAGCAACTACAACTCCCAAATGACAAAAGCAATTTTTTTTGAGTGAACGACATATATTGGGTTGTTAGGTGTATCGTGTCCAAATTTGGTGCCAATTCGTCCAGGGGTTTTTGAGTTCTGTGAATACCACAAACGAACATTTCATTTTTTATTTATATAGATGTGTGTGTGTGTGTGTGTGTGTGTGTGTGTGTATATCTTGTAAGACACGCTGAGTCCCCTTCGGGGGAGAAGGGCGGCATATAAATGCCGTAAATAAATAAATAAATGCAGTTTGAAACCAATGCTCAATGCTATGCAACCCTGGGAGTTGCAGTTTTACAAGATCTTTAGTCTTCTCTGACAAAAGTTGCTGGTGTCCCAGAAAACTGCAACTCCAGGAGTCCATAGCTTTGAGTCATTGCAGTTAAAGTGGTGTCAAATTTCATTAATTTTATAATGTAGATGCTTCCCAGATTTCACTTTTTAGGATTTCATATATAATCACAGAGTTGGAAGAAACCACACTGCCCATCCAGTCCAGCCTCTTCGCCATGCAGGAAAAAAACACCATTAAAGCACCATATCTGTGGTTCTCAGCCTGTGGGTCCCCAGATGTTTTGGCCTTCAACTCCCAGAAATCCTAACAGCTGGTAAACTGGCTGAGATTTCTGGGAGTTGTAGGCCAAAACATCTGGGGACCCAAAGGTTGAGAACCACTGCCCCATATGATGTTGCCACGGCAGTTAAAAGTGGAACCATAGTGCAACAGGTCCCGAGATAAAATGGGGAGGATCAGTGCTGATCGTGATTTGTTTCTTTCAGAAACAAAATAGATACGTGTCCTTTGAAATATGTTTTTCAAAAGTGATACACTGAAATCGGCAAAAATCTAGAGTCTTCAAGGATCTGGCACTTGGAGGCATAGCCATCAAGGTAGGTCAGATTCTGAGAGAGTTTGGCCACAGATTTGATTTGCTGAGGCTTCATTAGATTTCATGGCAAATTTCAGTTCAGGTTGTTATCTGTCCATGAAGAAGCAAACAAAACAGTAATGACCTTTTTGCTCTGGGTGCTTTTAGCAGCAATTTTGATCCCTGAGAATTACTGGGTTAAGCTTTAAAAAAATAGCCATGTTTGTCTCTTACAGCATAAAAGGAGGAATGAAGAAAAAAAATGTGGCAGAACCTTTAAGACTAAGTGGTTTTTACATCCAAAAAGGTTGAAATGTTCTGCAACTTTTAAAAAAAGTATTATCATATTTTGTAATGTTGCTCTTAACTTGTTTTTAATGCTGTTTTAACTTACTTTTAACATGTGTCTTTAAAAAAATCAGTTTAATTGCATGTTAACTTTTGTATCAAGAGTTTTTTTCCCCACTGCATTGCCCTTTTAAAACATTGGAGAAAGACAGGATATGAATAAAATAATACAAAAAAATGTTATCTTTAGTTGATGACTATCTTTATCAAAGAGATAGCCATGGCAGGAAAAAGGGGGATAAATCTACTGAAATCTTTAAGGCTAATTAATTTTAGGTTGAGTTTTTGTGGATTTCAATCCACTTCGACACAATCTTCAAGTCAGTTATTGAACAACCTGGGGATCACAACCAGACACAGTGAAGACACCTCCTCTTGCGCTTTGCTATTCTGCTGTTGAGTACACATGCCCAGTGTGGAATACATCTCACAACGTTAAAATAGTGGCTCTTAATGAGACATGCCACATTGTCACAGGATGTCTATGCTCTACATCACTGGAGAAATTATATTGCTTAGCTGGTATTGCACCACCTGACATCCATCTGAAAGTAGCAGCCTGTAAGGAAAGGACCAAGGCATTGACATCTCAGGCCCATCCTCTGTTCGGATATCAGCCAGCATGCTAACATCTTAAATCAAGAAATAGCTTCCTAAGATCTACAGAGACACTCACAGGAAAACCTCAGCAAGTGAGAGCCCAAAAGTGGCAGGCTAAAATCCGGAACCTCAATCAGTGGCTGATTCCAGATAAGAAACTCCCTCCTGGACACACAGAAGACTGGTTGACTTGGAAGGCGCTGAATAGGCTGCACTCTGGCACCATAAAATGCAGAGCCAACCTTAAGAAATGGGGCTACAAAGTGGAGTCTGTGACATGTGAGTGTGGAGAAAAACAAACTACAGACCACCTACTACAATGCAACCTGAACTCTGGCACATGCACAATGGAGGACCTTCTCACAGTGACATCAGAGGCACTCCAAGTGGCCAGCTTCTGGTCAAAGAACATTTAGCATAATGCCAAGTTTTTAAAACTTTACTTGTGTTTTACAATACATTCTAACTGTATCTTCAATTCTCTTCTGACACAATAAATAAATAAATACAGGTATTGAAGGCATTTTACATCCTACACACAATTACTTGGTAAATTACATACAAAATCCCACCAGGGTTTATGATTTGTTTAATCAGTAGAGTAATCTACTACAGCTTTAGTTGATTAATCAGTAGGAACCATTTATTAATCAGCGATATTTGGACATACTCAGGGGTATTAAAAAGGTCAGAGCCTCTCTGATTTCATTCATATTCCTTGCAATTTTATTTTGGAAATGCATTCACATTTTGTTTCTCTCAAAACATTTCCTGCTGGCTGAGAAAGGAAATACAGATTGGGTTGTTGTAGGTTTTTCAGGCTGTATGACCATGTTCTAGAAGCATTCTCTCCTGACGTTTCACCTGCATCTATGGCAAGCATCCTCAGACCTCACAACCTATGAGGATGCTTGCCATAGATGCAGGCAAAACGTCAGGAGAGAATGCTTCTAGAACATGGCCATACAGCCCGAAAAACCTACAACCCAGTGATTCCAGCCATGAAAGCCTTCGACAATACATTGAAATACAGATTCTTCTCAGCTATTATAATTTATCATGGAATTTCTTATAAATTTGAAAAGACACATATTACTTATATGTAATTAATACTTGTATATAAATTGTGAACTATCTTGGAGATGGGACCCAAGTCTAAATCTGAAATTTATTTATGTTTCGTATAGTCCTTAAATAATTTTGTGCATGAAAGAAAAATTGTGTACATTGAGCCACCAGAAGGCAAATGTACCACTGTCTCATCGACCCATGTGGACAATGTGATTTTTAGAGTATTTCAGAGTCCCAGATAAATGATACCTATGCCATTTCCTGGATGGAGAGCATTATCCATTCTTGCATCTGGCAAATGCAAGATTTAGAACTGTGCTGTAAACCATGCTAACTTACCAATCTATTCATATTTTTATAAACATAATAATAATAATAATAATAATAATAATAATAATAATCACAAATACTATCTGCCTGCGACAAAGAACTTGTGGGATCACAAGCCGGAAAAAGTTACAGAGAATGAACACGTCAAGCTACTCTGGGACTTCCGGATTCAGACAGAGTTTTGGAGCACAACACTCCTGACCTCACAATCGTGTTAAAAAACAAAGTATGGATTGTCGATGTTGCAATCCCAGGTGACAGAAGGATTGAAGAGAAACAACTGGAAAAGCTGACACGATATGAGGATTTAAAGTTCGAACAGCAAAGATTCTGGCACAAGCCAGTCAAAGTGGTCCCAGCGGTGACTGGCACACTGGGCGCAGTGCCTAAAGACCTTGGCCTGCACTTAAACACAATTGGCGCTGACAAGATTACCATTTGCCAGCTGCAAAAGGCCACCTTACTGAAATCTGCATGCATTATTTGCCAATACATCACACTTGGGAAGTGTCCGACGTGTGATCCAATACAACAGCCAGCAGAGTGTCTCATCTTCTCATCTTTGATGTTTCAAATAATATTAATAATTCATATTCCAAAGAGGTTTCATTTTAAAAAGTATTCTTACCAACAAATTTCTGCGGCATGGAGCTTTTCCGCTTGGCTACATTGCTCGCTAAGCGATCCAGGACAAGGGCCCGTTCAGTTCCCATTTCAGTTTTGCTGTGCCTTCCTTCCGCAGATTCTAAATTAGGGAAAGCAAAGAGAAAAAACAGACTATTAATTAAAAAGGAGAGACAAAAAAGAAAGCAAGGAAACATAAAGAAAGGAGCTGAATGGAACTTGCTGGATGGCGGTTGCTTAGATTTTCTAGTTATTGGTGTTCTCATACCTCTTGTGGTCAGCAAACCCGGGGGCAAAACATCGCACATACAAACCTTGCAATTCTCAGACTCAGGGAGGGGAGAAACCAACCTCACAGAATTAACATCTTGATTGTACGCTTCCTTCTTGCTAATGAACAATCTGGACTGGGTAGTTTGTGAAATACAAAGGGAGAGCTTGGCCCGCCCAACTTTCCATTTGATTTTGAGTAAGACTGCAAGACACCTGCAGACGGCCCTGAGAGCCTCAAAAGCAGCCATGAAAGGAACATATTTTGCCTTTGTTTATAGAAACCCTGGTTGTGTGCCTGAGTGTATATATGTTCAGACAAACTGATGACATCTTGGGTTGTTGTAGGTTTTTTTTCCGGGCGATATGGCCATGGTCTAGAGGCATTCTCTCCTGACGTTTCGCCTGCATCTATGGCAAGCATCCTCAGAGGTAGTGAGGTCTGTTGGAACTAGGAAAAAGGGTTTATATATCTGTGGAATGACCAGGGTGAGACAAAGGACTCTTGTCTGCTGGACCATGTCAGACTACACAGAGAAGCCATTGAAATACACAAGCATGTGGACAATTTCAACAGAAAGGAGGAAACCATGAAAATGAACAAAATCTGACTACCTACCAATATTAAAAAACTCCAAAAATTACAACAGCACAACAACAGAGAAGAAACAAGCAAGGACATCTAATCACCTCTCAACAAAAGTTTGCTCTAGGCACTGTCAAGCCATTATCTGCTAATCAAGGTGGTCAATTGAAACATTCACACCTAGCTCCAGCAGACAGGAGTCCAGGGTGAGTCCTTTGTCTCACCCTGGTCATTCCACAGATATACAAACCCTTTTTCCTGGTTCCAACAGACCTCACTACCTCTGAGGATGCTTGCCATAGATGCAGGTGAAACGTCAGGAGAGAATGCCTCTAGACCATGGCCATATAGCCCGAAAAAAACCCCTACAACAACCCAGTGATTCCAGCCATGAAAGTCTTCGACAATACATTGATAACATCTTGATATCCCCACCCCATGAAACACTATAATTACGGTAATATCAATGTTGCCATTGGGATGGATCTTGCTGTAGCCATCATCAAACTAGACACAGTGAAATCAAAGGGGACATAAGATAGTTGAATGACTTTATTCACTAATTTGAGGGTGAAACCAGACTAAAAATGCAATAAAGTCACAGGTTTTGTTCTTCCTGACTTTATTTTGTAGATCCATACATATTTTCTATACCCTAGAAAAGTTTCTTTCAGCTCCTGGTACAATCAGAGACTTTTTCTATCAGCTCTCCAGGTCAGTTTATTTGAACCCATTATAAATCCAGAAAGAATGGAAACAAAATCTGGGACTTTTTAAACAGTCTGGACAAAAGTTTCCTTGGATTTATCTTATATGCAAATGAATCTGGATCCATCACACCATCATTATCACCAACACCAGCACTACCTAATACGGGTTGCTGTGATTTTTTTTAGGCTTTATGGCTATGTCCCAGAAGCATTTTCTCCTGATGTTTCACCCACATTTATGGCAAGCATCCTCAGAGGTTGTGAGGTCTGTTGGAAACCAGTGAGGTTTATATATCTGTGGAATGTCCAGGGTGAGAAAATGAACTCTTGTGTGTTTGAGGCAAGTGTGAATGTTGCAATTGGCCACCTTGATTAGCATTGAATGGCCTTGCAGCTTCAAAGTCTGGCTGTTTCCTGCCTGGAGGGATCATTTGTCAGGAGGTGTTAGCTGGCCCTGATTGTTTCCTGTCTGGCATTCCTCTGCTTTCTGTGTGTTGTTCTTCATTTACTGTCCTGATTTTAGAGTTTTTTAAAATACTGGTAGCCAGATTTTGTTGATTTTCATGGTTTCCTCCTTTCTGTTGAAATTGTCCACATGCTTGTGGATTTCAATGGGTTCTCTGTGCAATCTGACATGGTGGTTGTTAGAGTGGTCCAGCATTTCTGTGTTCTCAAATAATAAGCTGTGTCCAGGTTGGTTCATCAGATGCTCTGCTATGGCTGACTTCTCTGGCTGAATTAGTCTGCAGTGACTTTCATGTTCCTTGATTCGTGTTTGGGCAATGCTGCGTTTGGTGGTCCCTATGCAGACTTGTCCACAGCTGCATGGTATATGGTAGACTCCTGCAAAGGTGAGAGGATCCCTTTTGTCCTTTGCTGAACATAGCATTTGTTGGATTTTCTTAGTGGGTCTGTAGATAGTTTGTAGGTTTTTCATCAGCTTCCCTCTGCATTCAGTGGTTCACTTGATATGTGGTAAGAACACTTTTCCTCTGGCCAGATCTTTGTCTTTACACTCGTAGCTTGTTCTTGGTCTTGCAGCTCTTCTTATGTCTGTGGTGGAGTTTCCATTGGCCTATAGAGCCAATGGGTAGTTCAGTTCACCTCGGAGGAGGTGGGGTTTGCAGATTATTATTTTTGCATCTAATATCTACCTAGTATCGTTTATTACTATTGTTGTTTTGGGAATGAGTATGTCAATGCAACAACGCACTGAGTGCCAGTCTCCATGCCCTTCTGCAGAATGTTCCAATTTAAATAAATGTTTTTTCAACCTCAGTTTTTGTACTTTCTATTCCCCAACAGATAAGAGCAACAATAACAATGGGAAAAAATAACCAGCCGATACACAGTCTTCACATTTTAGTACTAGATTTAGTCTTATAATCAAGGAGGCTCACAAATCATACTCAACAAACAGGCAACATAATCGAGAACAGAGGTTGTGAAACCAAATTCCACTAAGATTTAGGTTTTTCGGAGGTTTATCTGACGTTTCTTAAGAAAAAGAGGTGCCAATAAAATGTTGGCAGCTTATTTATAAAGCACTAGCCATCCCCTGCCACGTGTTGCTTTGGCCCAGTCTGTATATATGTGTTTTGTGTGTATATATATGTGTGTGTATATGTTTGTGTATATGTGTATATATGTGTGTTTGTGTATATATGTGGTTTTGTGCATGCATTGTAATGCTTTTTTTTGTTTTTTGGCTTTTAAACTCTCTTCTGCTGTGTTTTTCAGTGTTTTTATGAGTGATAGTCACTTGTTGGCCTGATAGGTATATTGTGTCCGAATTTGGTGTCAATTCGTCCAGTGGTTTTTGAGTTATGTTAATCCCTCAAATGAACATTACATTTTTATTTGTATAGATTTATTTCTACAACAGGAGTGTGGCATCTTTCTTTGCTGTAAGAGCAACTTCTTCAGCTCCAGACAAGCATAATAGCCTAGGAATAGAATGCTAGCCATAGGGAAATCCACAGCCCAAAGTGTGCAGGACCAGTCCAGATGCTGTCTTGCCATCCCTTACATGTTGCTCAGACACACATATCAGAAACATATAACCCACTAAGCAGAGTCTGGAAATTACTTTTGGGACTACAAATCACATAATCTCATAGCCAGGATAATTAGTAATCATGGTGACTGGAGGATTACGAACATTATTGTTTAAAAATGACTTTTTCCAAGCATTTGCCATTCACACATATGGAAAGACAGCAAACGCGTCATGAAAATAATCACTCTCTCCCACTATGGGCAGTATGACACCTTTGTTTCTCCTTTCCACCACATACGTAGCATGGAAAAAGATATATAGTTTCCACTCTACAGCAGGAAAAGGAGGTCTAGGAAGAGGTTGGCGAGTTGAAAACATGAGGGAGTATTGGGTGCGTTCTATGTAGCATTGTTCCATCTCCCAGGAGCCTGATTTGCCTTACTTTATAGTTGCTTGAGGTTGCTTCCTCTTGTATTTTCTCCCAGGACTGCTGCAGCTTTACAAGAATCCTAAAGGTTAATAGTATCAGAGTCTGCAGGACTCCTTTGTACCTATTGGTTCAGAAAGGTATTTTTTTGGGTCTAGGGACCACCGTTTCTCCCAGGGAAGAGATCTCCATTTTAGAATCTCCCCTGCCTTTTCAGTTTGAGGAAAGACTTCTGACGTGCTGACGGCTAGGCAGTTAGCTCTGGGAAAACCATTGCAAAAACTATACATTATAGATAAGTCTTAAGCTATATTGAGTTAATATAGATAGTATATTGTGTATTGAGCTGTACTGAGATATTATAGACCAGTGGTTCTCAACCTGGGGGTTGGGACCCCCAGAGGGGTTGTGAGGGGGTATCAGAGGGGTCACCAAAGACCATGAGAAAACATAGTATTTTCTGTTAGTCATGGGGGTTCTGTGTGGGAGGTTTGTCCCAATTCTATCGTTGGTGATGTTCAGAATGCTCTTTGATTTAAGTGAATTATAAATCCCTGCAACTACAACTCCCAAATGTCAAGGTCTACTTTTCCCAAACTCCACCAGTGTTCACATTTGGGCATATTGAGCATCTGTGCCAAATTTGGTCCAGATCCATCCTTTTTTGAGTCCACAGTGCTCTCTGGATGTAGGTGAACTACAACTCCCAAAACTCAAGGTCTATTTCCCCCCAAACCCTTTCCAGTATTTTCTGTTGGTCATGGGAGTTCTGTGTGCCAAGTTTGGTTCAATTCCATCATTGGTGGAGTTCAGAATGCGCTTTGATTGTAGGTGAACTATAAATCCCAGCAACTACAACTCCCAAATAACAAAATCAACCCCCCCCCCCAACCCCACCAGTATTCGGCGTATCAGGTATTTGTGCCAAATATGGTCCAGTGAATGAAAATACATCCTGCATATCAGATATTTACATTAATTCATAACAGTAACAACATTACAGTTATGAAGTAGCAACAAAAATAATTTTATGGTTGGGGGTCACCACAACATGAAGAACTGTATTAAGGGGTCCCAGCATTAGGAAGGTTGAGAAACACTGTTATAGACAGATAAGCTTAATTGAGAA